CGTGCAGAAAAAACTCCTGTATTTTAAGACGTGTGACCTGGTGAAGCTGATCTCTGTGAATGTACACAAAGAATACTTCTGCCTCATCCTCCTTCCAGGACCACAGGTAAAACGGAACCAACCCATACACTGAGTCACACCTGAGTACTTCCTATCATCGATCAGAATAAAGGTGAAATCTGTGGAAGTCTTCAAAAAAAAATTCTCACCAGCCCTCTGTGACAACAAGACATGGAGCACGACTGGGTCCAGAGGGAAGAAAAATAAGGCAGGGAAGATGTAGAGGGGAGTATTTAATAGATCACAGATACTTTTATATATTCTCCCAGCACATCTATAAAATAACAAGCCATAATAAAAATCAGTAGGTGGATGACTAGGGAGATGAAGTGCCACTCGCAAGGCAAGAGTGCAGGCGGTGGAATATGACTGCAGGCCTGGGAACTCACATTAAGGTTCAATGCCTTGGTTTACGAAGGTGAACTTTCTATTAGGTGTCTCCTCTGATTTTTTAGGACCTAGAGATCTCCATTAAGTGCTTATAAAAAAAGCTTGGTGACTTCAAGAATCAGGCAACACTACAGACCATGCAAAGAAAGGACACTCTATGCCAGCGACCGCAGAAGCAAGCCTAAGGAAAGCCTGCTTAGATTTCAAGGAAGAACTGTGATTTCCCATTTAGACCCTGCTCAAAGCAGGCTTACAAATTAGGCCAAACCATTGGTCCATTAGCTTCACTGTAATTTAGCCAAACAGAAGAATGTTTATTGATAAACATGAGTGCTGTATGTGTACCTCACCTTCTTCACAAGTTTGGTTGCTGCTGCATGTAGAAAGCGGGATTTGAGCTAAACCTTACCTTGCTGCCGTGAACACTTCTTATCCGTTATCCCAGTCTCTGGGCCACGCCCAATTACCACTGCTTCCAAGTGTGGCAGTTTCATTCGCTGACTGCATTTTTCTTTCCCCACAAGCCAGCAGACATGCATCACTGTGCTATAGAGCAAAAAAAACAGTACATTACTAATACACAGCTTCCCAGTGGGTCACCTTCCTGTGGATCGGCGTCCAGCAGATTCTGCTGCCAGCCCATTCATTAACTGAGTCACTTCTGCTAACTGGGTTCACATTCCTGAGGTCCAAGCAAAGCATGGGACTGACAGTGGCACAAATTTTAAGAGCAAGTTGCTGTTGGAAGGGCATGGATCATATATGGGAAAAATCACTCGGATCAACAGTTCCACCTGACAGAAAAGCCTACCCACAAAAAAAGCAATTGGTTTCCCACTGAATCGAGAGTTGATCTGCGAGCTTAACTCACCCACCAAAACAACGAAAGCAGCAGAAGACAGAAAGGGTGAGAGAGGGGGACAGTTTCACCCAGCAACAGCCTGCAGATGGACCGTGCTACGAAACCGGGCCCTCCGGTTTACACCACTTTGGCCCTGGACAGCAAAGATCCCGCGCCCTCCCCGCCAAGCTCGGCGCTAAGGGCTCCTCCCCCCCGCTCCGCGGTGAGCTTACCCCGCTGGGAAGCAACCTTCCCTCCCTCCCTCCCTCCCCCC